AAGATTCTCCAGGATGTTGTTTCTTTATTAACTACCACCTTCATCTATTGCACCTCTGTCCGTCCTGGGAGAGGGATCCCTCACATGTGGCTCTCTCTGAGGTTAATAGGGTTTTTGTGGTAGTTTTTTCCTTACTCTTGCTGAGAGTTAAGGACAAAGGATGTTGCATCTTGTTAATCCCTATCAGACAAATATTCAATTCAATTCAATTTTATTTGGTAAGCGCCAATTCATAATATACATTATCTCAAGGCACTTTGCATAGAAGGTCAAGACCTTAAAATCTTTTTTAATATAGAGAAACCCAACTGTTCCCACAATGAGCAGACTGTGAAGAGGAAAAACTCCCTCATTAACAGGGAGAAACCTGTAGCAGAACCAGGCTCAATGTGGGCAGTCATCTGCCTCGACCGGTTGGGGTCAGCAAAGAAAAATGGGAGGAAAGGAGAGATGGGTGGAAAAGAGGGAGAAGAGAGAGTGATAGTGGGGAGGGGGAGGAGGGGGAGAGAGAGAGAGAGGCGAGAGAGACCGGGAACACTTGAGCACCATCAGGTATCACATCTGACTAGCTACAATGTAAACAGTAACAGTGTAAAGACTATTAATTATTATTGATAACAGGCACAATTCATATAATAATGAATTACTAAAGTATTGTTGTTAATAATAGTAATAATAATAATATCTGAAATGAGAGAGAAAAAGAGAGAGAGGGATTTGATATTGATTTGTGAAGATTGGCGATAAAAATAAAATGTCATTGAATTAATGAAACTTCCTTCTATAGGTTTCTGGAACATCACCATCATCCACTGTGGTGGTGTTTGATACAATATGGGATATTATTCCCCGTTAAAGTTGTATCACCTATAATTACTTTACGTAGTTAGTTAGTCCCCATGTAACTGTCTATGAAAAGTAGTGATAGGAATAATTCATGTTAGATTTGGAACTCGTAAGACAATGAGCGATGTGTACAGGGTTTCTTACAGGTCAACGTAGTGTCAATATTATATGGACATTTTGACCAGGATAAAAACTTGGTTAGACCCAGTGTAGAGGAGGAGGAAGGGGAGGGAATAACAAATGCAATGTGCACACAAGTGAAAATAAGTGTGTGTTAGGAGACAGAGGAAGCTGAAAAACTCAATAATATTGCATTCCAATTGAAATCACAGGAGAAAGGCAGATAGAGAACAGCTCAGAGTGTGAGTTGTGTTGGTGAGTTGTTTTTGAAAGAGTAAAGGGAAGCAGAATGGGGAGGAGGGAAAGGGCAAGGTTTTGATGGGATTCCACACAAGGTTGTTATGGAGATGGAAATGGGAGAGTGGAGTCTCACAATTCCCAATTAGTCACAAACACATGGTCACAACACACACCTGCAGCATGTGTACAAACTGGTCTCACACACTCACGCGCACACACACACTCACACACACACACACACTCACAGTTGTGTCACCATGACTTTAGAGGACATTACATTGACTTCCATTCATTTCCTAACCAGGTAGTAATCGATTAGTCTTTACCTCAAATCTGAATTATTTAGCCTGTATAATGGTCCCCATGATGTAACTTAGACTAGAGACTAGAACAGTTAATTGGCATTAAAGGAACCGCCCCTAACCTGGTGATCGATTCCGATTCATGCAAACTAATGATGAGTCATCTGTGAGCACCAAAGTTAATCACATGTTCCTCGGGGTTCTTAGCTAGGCCCAGTTTTATTCACATTATATATACTTCCATTAGAACTTTAACAGGACACACTCAGTTAATTTGTTCTGTGATCTGGATGACACCCAGTTATATCAATAAAAAACAAAGAACAGTGTAATCAATTCACTAAACTTCAAGCATGTTTAAAGGATATAGAAACCTGGATGAAGGCCCTAATTAATATGGCACATCATACCTTAAGGCAAAGAGCACTGTGCTCTAGTAGGGTGATATGAGACTTACTTCTTCTCCCTAAAGCATCGAAAAGTAGAGTAGGAGCCAGAATTTTCAGCTATCAGGCTCCTCTCCTTTGGAATCATCTCCCAGTTTCAGTTTGGGAGGCAGACATCCTCTCTATGTTTAAGAGTCGGCTTAAAACCTGCCTTTATGATAAAGCTTATAGTTAGAGCTGGTCCAGGTTTGTCTTGGATCTGCTCTTAGTTATGCTGCTATAGGTCTAGAATGTTGGGAGACACATGACACATGGAGCGTCTCTTTCCTCTTCTCCTTCTTTATCACATTAATGTCTCATCAATACATTTACTAGTAACTGACTTGACTTCTTCCCCAGAGTCTTTGTGCTTTATCGTTTGCACATCCAGGACCACAGCTGCAGCCACAAGGCGGATTACGAATAAGACATCCTGATGGCAGGTTGTGATTGTATTGGCACCTGATTGTGGACTATATTTACAACAAGAATACTTGAAATACAATACGCCTACTGCTTTTTTTAATGCACAAATACCTTACACATATACACACTCTCATTATGTTACAAAAAATGTTGTACATACTGTTATTTTGTTGATGTTCTCAGTTACATGCAGCATCTATTGCACTTCTGTCCGTCCTGGGAGAGGGATCCCTCACATGTGGCTCTCTATGAGGTTTCTACGTTTAAAGGGTTTTTGGTAGTTTTTCCTTACTCCTGTTGAGGGTTAAGGACAGAGGATATCACAGCTTGTTAAACCCCTATGAAACAAATTGTGATTAGCAAAAATATGGGCTTTACAATAAAATTTGATTTATTGATTGAGGTTGTCAAGATTCCAATGCATGTCTGAAAACAGTTTAAGTAAAGTGCCTTGTAAAACCACAATGTATGATGTGATTTGGCACTATACAAATAAAACTGAATAGAATTGAAATGATCCATTCACTTTATTAATTGTACTTTGCACATCTGTGATCACGTGAGGGTCTACTAGCATCAAAGTGACATAAATCACATCATTATCAGGGGGTGTATACACAGCAACCAACAATTTGTTGTGTAGCCACTACGCTATGAGGACAACCAAGACCAAGCAGACTTAAACCACTAGAAAGTACTACTAGAAAGTAGTAAAACAAGAACAAGTACATGTTTGTGGTGTCCAAGGCTGCAAGAGAGGCCTAAACCACAACTTTAAGAGTAGCTTACTCTTATTTGTGGATATGGAAAGTTCCACATCCAAAAGTTTAAGCTGTAAACGCTGATGGAAACTGTCACTATGGCTGACACGCAGGTACATATACGACAACAGGCCTATTAAGAGCTGATTGGAATTCAAGCCATTTTCAGACATGATCCAGGTGTTTGCCTTTCACACATGCACAACCCAGCGACAGGTTCTCTGCACAGACTAGTTCACAACAACAACAAATCCTCTGCATTATTCAGGCGAGCAGTGAAACAGCCGGGTGCAGTGACGTATTAACTCTGCTGCGGAGATCATGTGACACCGGTGTATCACCACAAACTCTCTTGACATCTTCATTGGTGTCCTCCACGTGTATAACGTTGCTTTTTCACGGGGAGATAATTGTTTTCTTCATTTTCTGTCGCGCATTAGACCAACCACCCCCCCCTCCACTTGCTCGAGGTGAATCCAACAGGATATCCCTCGCTGTGTCTACACATCAGATTCTCCTGGATTTCTATGGACGTGCGGAGAAATGTTCGGAGGAACTGCACAGTTCAGTGCATGACTGAAAGCAGCTGTAGACAACATGTGAAATATATTCATTAAAATGAAAATGAAGATATTGATCAATGATAATCTAATTTGGTGATTTGCAGTTGAAAAAATGTTGAGGTTTTTCCCTCTTTTTCATCAATTTAAAAGATCCCTTGCCCAACAGCATTTAATAACTATATTTCATGTAGTAAAATTAAATGCAGAAAATGAAATACTGTTAAAACAAGTTGTGCAGCCTATATTAAAAAAACTATGAAAACTATATATTAAACATACTTTCAGCTGCATTACATCATGCACACTCAGGAATATTATAACATCCAGAGTAAAATGTGATAAATGTGATTGGAATGTTTCATCGGCACAAAAATCCCATCATGAGAAATTATTATTTAGGACTTTAGGTCAGCAATGCAAGTAATTTAGTGCTGTTAAACTTAATAAGTACACACAAAAAGATATTGGTTCTGATACAAATCTTACCATTTAATAATTGCTGTTGGACAGGAGTGGAGGCTTACGATCTGGCTTCCTTCAAAGACACAAATTCCCGTCGATATGCTTCAGTGTTAGAAAAGACAGACAATGCAGCCTGCGCTCTGAAAAGAGGCTGCAGCTATGATGTGTAATATTAACAGGTCGCTGCCTATGTCCTCACACTGATCATTCTTAAAAGAGGTAATGTTAGGATTAGGTCTTGAATAACAAGCTAATGTCCAATATGGATTCTAGTCTTCTCCCATTCTCTCCCTAATCAGGGAATGAAGACAGCTCTTTCAGGTTCAGCAGGAGGAGACAGAGAGGAACTCAGTTAAAAAAAAACCTTCACAGAGTCAGTCACAATCAAACCCTGAATGCACCCCCGGTGCTGTCGTTTTCTAATCTATGACAGCCTTTAATTCCTTTTGAGAGATTTATCCGGTTTCAGAGTTGATATGTAGTGTTTGTTGCTACAAATGTGTCTTCTATTCGTGCAGATATATCACCACGTTTCAATAAAAAATTATATTTCAATGAAAATTAACTGAGGCAGTCTTTTCTTTTTTAAATCGCCTCCATAGCAGATTGGACAACAAGAATTATTTGCAGTGTCAATCAGCCCCTTGTTCTTTGTGTGGTGTCTGATGTTTGCACTCTTCTTTGAGAACTTTGGTAAAAGCCGTCGTTTAAGCTTAATAGTTGTTAATAATTGATTATTAAGATACTTTTGTGCAGGGAAGGCCTCCCCTCTCTCCGCCTACATCATCAACAAGTGTCTCGTGCACTGTCAGGGGGCTTTTGAGTTGCAAATGCACGCGCACAGACGGAAGCTCCCATTGGTCGAAACCCAGCGAAGTGCACGAGAGCAGGGAAACTTTTGCAGCGAGCGGGCACATGAGTTCAGTGTGTGAGCCGACCGTCTAACAAGTGGTTTCCCGCTGAGATCGCGCCGAACAGACGCAAGGAGAGGCATCTACTGCGTTTACAAGACAGACTGTCCTCCGTGTGTCTCAGTATCATAGTAATGTCCTCCACAACCCGTCTGCTCATTTAGGATCTTTAGAAAGAAGTGATCGTCCATTGCTTCTGTTTTGTCTCCGGTGCGCTGCGGCTAATTGGTTAATTTGGATCACCCGGCGCTCCCGGTTCAGCCTGAGAGGAAACCCCGGCCACGAGTCGCCAGGTGGAGGGCGACAGAAGGCTGCTGTGAGCGCCAGTGTTGAACTGTTTTCTGTAACTCATCCTCCCTTCACTGCATCTGTCCAGCATGTACAGCATGATGGAACACGAGCTGAAGCCGACCGGCCAGCCCCCCTCTCACCAGACCTCACAGGGGATGTCACCGGTCACCGGCAACATGACCGGGAACATGGGCGGCAATGGCAACTCTCACCCGTGCACCAAGACTGCGTGCGCGCCTGGGAGCGACCCCATGGATAAAGTCAAGCGGCCCATGAACGCTTTCATGGTCTGGTCCAGGGGTCAAAGGCGCAAGATGGCCCAAGAAAACCCGAAAATGCACAACTCTGAGATTAGTAAGCGACTGGGAGCTGAGTGGAAACTCCTGACCGACGCCGAGAAGCGGCCCTTCATCGACGAGGCCAAAAGGCTCCGGGCGGTCCACATGAAGGAGTACCCCGACTACAAGTACAAGCCACGCCGCAAGACGAAGCCCCTGCTGAAGAAGGACACTCAGGTGGGCAAGTACCCGCTGTCGGCAGGAAACCTGCTGGCGGCGGCACAGGGCCAAGGTGGTAGTCCGAGGATGGAGAGCTACGGCTGGGGTCCAACCGGGGGGTACGCGGGCATGCAGGGCGAGGCGCTCGGCTACACTCAGCAGCTGCACCGGTACGACCTGTCAGCTCTGCAGTACCCACCTGCAATGACAGCAGCACAGTCGTACATGAACGGAGCCAACTCGTACAGGTGAGCACAGTAAAGTCAACTTTTTTTTATTTGATTGCATTTCCTTTCCTGGTAATTATATCACAAGTATAGGGTTATATAGGTTTTCAAGTCACTTTTAATTTGTCTTAGAGTCTGAATCCACCTGTCAGACAGTTTATTCTACAGTGGGCTCCAAAGTCTTAACTCCAACAATGTATTCAAGTGGGAAGTCATTGTCACATACATCAACACATGCATTCGTGAGTGTGTGTGTGCACAAACAACAGTAGTCACGTTTATGGATTGGTGAATATAATTAAAATGTCCAACACACACCTCAAATATGTCAATTGAAATATTTGAGGTGTATGCTGGACATTATTTTATTTGTGTGTCACATGTAAAACTGACTAGCAGTTAAAATGAGACTTAAATCAGGTGAGAATCCAGTCCCTTTGAGTCAGGAACTTTGCATATGATGGAACAACAGGCCTTCAGTCTGTTGCCTACTTGTTATGCATGTGACACTGTTCAGGGCTGGGTCCTGCCTGGAATGTTGATCAGGATGACTTGATGGCAGGCAGGGCTGCTCTGTGTGTGGTCCTCTACCCACTGTCCCTTATTCCTGCAAACCTTTGTCCCCCCCCCCAGTTACACTTGTGGGCCTTTGCCTCATTCCCTGTAAGCTACAAAGTTTCAACACTTGGATAAACGTTCTGGTGTAAAGTGTAAAGATAGATGACGTTCAAGTTAAGTCCAATATCCATCATTTCTATAGCCCTTTGACTGATGGCTCATCAGCGTTAACACATTTTAAAGCACCAGATGTGTTCATGTTAGTTATCGGTTCCTGCTGATGTTTAAAAGTTGAAAGTACTGTGCTTGTCAAATGATACACAGAAAACTTTATGGATGGTGATATGGCTAAAATACAAATGATCTTAAGAGATTTTAATTACATTCAAATCTTGGTTTTTTTCACTGAATTTAAGATTGCCTGATAGGTTCATTTATTTAATGAATATATATACATTTAAAGTTAAATGCTTCCTTCCACTTAGAGGCTTCTTTTTTTTCAGCTATCAAATTAATGATTTCATAATTTCAAAAGATGAACAACTTGACAGTGATCAAATGTAAATTTAAAAGATATGTTGCCATTGTTGCACCTTATTGTGTATTTGTTCTCTTGTGACAAATGTGCAGATTGAAAGGGAGAGAACTGAAGACCCACTGAGTTTGTGGGTGGTAGCAGTGACTCCCCCCTTATACTGGCTCTGTCTCAACATGCAGGTGGACATTATGAATAATCTGTTTGAACACGGGTGTACTTGACCCTCTCACTCGCCTGTTATTAAAGATACATGCAGTAGTTTGAGGTGTTCACTAATTTCATTAATTGACTCGAGTGTAGCAACACCACAAATATAAAACTCCTCCATTACAAAGAAATAATTCTAAAAGTAATGTGTCAAAGTATACAATTTAAAAGAGGCAATAATATTAAGGACCCCAATAGTAGTTTTGACCGTATAAATATATATTTATAAAAGTAATTTACTTACCTTACTGTTAATCTATGTTGAATGAAGAATTAGCTTCGTTGCACAGCAAGTATTTAACCTGACATTGCAGAGTAATTAATGATAATGATAAATATTATGGTCTCCACACTACTATGCCATAAACAATAATTCAGCTATATTTAGTTACCATTTCACAGTAGAAGTTCCAAGTCATTGTGTTTCAGTCCTTGCCCCAACAAGTATTGGCAAGACTGAAAGTCAGTTCATTAGTTTTAATATTACTCATTTAGGACAGTTGGATATATATTTGAGATGAGGATTTGTTACTCAGCAAACATGTTTGATTTTTATCATAGCACTGTATATCTACTGTAGAAGTTGTGTAGCTTTTGGTGTTGGCATCATGTTGTCAAACAGATCCATCCCACCCACATCACATCGTATAAGTGGATTTACATAGATTCCGGAATCTGTTCATCATCTTTAAATGACAGATGGTTTTCTGAACCTCAACAATGCACTAAAGCACAAAGCTCTGCAAAATGACAGGAAAGATCATTTGCTTAAATAAATTCAAAGGAGAAAAGGCTGATTACAATGTAAATGTGGATTTTAGAGCAGAAGAATGTCTGTTTCAATGTCTTAGCATAATTTCCCCCATGATGATTTCTCATCCAGATGTATTTATGGATTTTTATTTTTTAAACTCTCACATGGCATCTAATTTGTTCTGTCTTGTCCTCTGCACAGCCCTATGTCATACAGCAGCAGTCCTCAGCAACCAAGCCCTGTCACCATGTCCATGGTGAAAGCAGAACCAGTGTCTCACTCGCCTCCAACAGTGACCCCAAACCACCACAGAGGGCCTTTGCAGGGTGACCTCAGGGACATGATCAGCATGTACATTCCGGGACCAGGAGGGGATGCCAGCGACCCCACAACAACACAGAGGGGCTACACCAGTGTCCAGCAGCACTACCTCACTGGAACTGTCCCGCTCACACACATCTAGGACTGTGGGAATCATGGGGGTGTGGGTTGAACTGAGTGAGAGAACCAGAAATGCTCATGATGCACAGGTCAGTAGATGGGAGTCAAAGAGATGAAGGATGAAATGTGAAGGGAAAAACTGTATCCCCGCATGTAGTAGTCTCACAGTTCCAGATGTGCCTGCAGTTCCAGATGTGCAAGTGACAACTGTTTGTTTCACCGAAAAGCTGTTTTTCTACCTCTTTGGTTCCACATCAGTTAAAATAAACGCCACTCACACCCTCCACCACACATACCGAGCTCAGTCTCCTCCCTGCCCAACCACCTGACAAGCGGACGTCCCTCCATGCAGTGATGACGGGGGGGGGGGCATCTTAAATGCATGTCTTCAACCAGCTGTACCAGTTTCTGTACAAATTACAAAATGTGTGTCTTTTTTATATTTTTTAGAACTTATCCATAATTGAGTCAAGGTTATACTACCTGAACACTTGTGACACTGGCACTCTCTACAGTCCCACCACCAGTGCCTAGACACTGCTTTGTGGGCAGATCTGGAGAACAGCTGGGTGCTGGTAGGGAACACGAGAAGGAAATGCACGACTTAAATAACAGCTATGGCAAATGAAGTCTTTGTCTTGGCTCCGGTTGAGTACTATTGTGTTTTTATATTTTAACTGATGAATTCCTATTGGACAACACGGAAAACACCTTTTGGACAATCAGCACTGCATCCACAGGAAATAAACACAACACAATGGCATCTATAATCCACGGTGTTGCTTTCAATGAAGAATCAGCTTGGTTCCATTTTCAGTAGATCACATGTCTGAGTATGAGAAGGCCTGTGACACTTGTTGCTGCCAGTTTGAGTTTTATTTGTTATAATTAGTTCTAGATTTGTGATTTGATATTAATTTTTAAGATGCATTGTTCTGGCAGCATCCTGAGTGTAATTGTCACTTTGCTATAGGCAGGAGTTGTATTGCTTTTAGGCTTCTTATTGAGGGAATGAATAATATGAAATGCTTCATTTCATTTGTTTGTTCCAAATAGCAGATTAAGACTTGCAAGTTATTTCTTCCAAGTACACTGGAACAACAAAAGGCCTTCTTGGCATGTGTTTTTGTTTTTTGTTAATGACCTGTCTTTTGTGTTTTATGATTACCAGTAAAGGGAATGTATCAGTTAGTTTCGGACTATATCTCCAGCAAACAATACATCTCGTTTCTAAACTTTTTAGAGTAACTTCAACAATGGGTAATTTTCATTCTCTTGAATAATAAACTGTTTTGATCCCAGTTGTTTCAATCTGACGGCAGCGTCCTTCTGTCGAGCCTGCTGTCTGCTTACTAGTGCTGCTATGGACCTAAAGGAACGTTTGATTTTTCAACCAACAACTCAGTATTGAATGTGTTAGATAATTCAGACAGTATTACAAACTAAACTTGCACTGGAAACAGATGCCTGAGTTATTTTTGGAAATGAGTAATGCATAAATGTTTACATTGATACCCAAGTATTTGAAAACCTAACTTTTATACTGATTTTAGAATGAATTCTGTATGTAAATGCTGCCATGTGCTAGAGTTATTGTATGTAGCATTCATGTAAATAATGTATACATTTTTAGGCTCTTATACTAAGAGTCTTGATTCTTTTTTGATTATAAAAAAATCTTTGTTATGGCATTCATGACAATATTAATAAAAAGTACAAATCCTTTTTTCATTCATATTTAAATGTCTGTGTGAATTTAGTTAAAAAACATTTATGAAAAGTTTAATGAAGTGTTTTACACAATGACCAGAATCCATTCAGTGGCCACTTTCTTATATACACTTGTTCAGTTTCATCATCTGATGAAACATTCTTTGTAGATTCTAACAAGAAGGCATTAATCCAAATGTATTTTTAACGTTCTACTGGACACAAAATAATGAAAGCCCATAAACATACTTGAACATTCAGGCCAGTACAACCAAAAGTGACTGACCCCAATAATAAACATTGTTAAATTAAGCTTAAACTTAGAATGTATGGCTCAGCGTTGTCAAAGCCAATTCAGTTCTACCGTTATACTTCACAAAGTGGCCGAGGGAAACTTATAAGCACTCCAAGTGGCCACCATATTTTTGGTATATTTTCCCACCTTCCAGACAATCATCACAAGTATATAAAAAACACCATTAAACACTTGCTTGAAAATGTTTAAATTTTCACAGTGATTATGAAGTAAAGTCACCTTATTGTCATTCATTCTACAAATACAGTTTATGGCTGAACAAAATGGTGTTTGCAAAAGCCATGCAAAAGTGATGGTTTTTAAGTCTGCACAGTGGCAGTGACTAAACATGCAGGTTTTGTGTTCAAGCACGTATTTCTTACAGAATTTCACATCCAAAGATATTCGTAGAAATCACATTCAACCTTTTGAATGTGATATAATAGTGGACTTCCCCGTTTTCCACGTACACAGTCTTGTCATCAGGCTATGAGTCGAAATACTCCTATCAAATATTTGATTTCTTAGAAAAACCCAGATGAATTAAATAATTTCTCCTGGGGCAGAGTGGAAATGCATTTCAGTGTTTCCCGGTTGTTGTTACAAACATGAGCTCATCCATCCAAATGATTCCAGAAGATAAGAAACCACCTTTATCATTTGCACAGCCTGATGCCACTCACATGAACACTCCGGGCTGAAGTGAACAATGGCGGGGGAGCATGGGCAGGAATGGGAAGATGTGATGGGAGAGAGTGAATTGCACATAGTGGCCAGAGTGATTTAAAGCTTGATTATTTACTTTCTTATCTTTACTCTCTTTTAAAATTCACTTTCGCTGTTCCCCTCCTGCTCCCTTTCACTCCCCCAACTCCTCCCCCACGTCTCTCCACAGAGAAAGCGGGTGGATGGCCCGTGCGTAATTGGCCGTTTCGGAGGCGCATTGTCCGCGGCTTTTCAGGCCGCAGGTGCATATAGTAAAGCCGAGCTCTCCGCTCCTCCCCCGGTCGTCTTTGTTCCCTCTCCCCGCTTCGCCCACTCCCCCGCCGGGCAGAAAATTAGGGTTGCATTTGGGGGCTTCGTCCTCAGGCTTAACCCTTTCACCGACCGCCGCCTTTCTCATGGAAATAGGAGAGAACCCCGCACTGGCTAATCGGTCAGCGAGGGGAGGGGTGGGTTGGAGAGGAGGGGAGAAAAGATGCGGGCTCCACGATCAACAGATGCATGGAGAGGACTTCAAACTTCTCTAAGAGCACATCAGAATGTGATTACATTTCACTGGTGCTGTATGTATATGAAGTATTTAATTATGAAATGTGTATATAGAGATGTGGTTTTAATTAGATGGAAATCAAAGTGGGGGAATGTTTGGTCTCTAAAAATGGGTTGAATATTATAAAGATATCCATTTACACCTTTTCAATATTAAAAGTTCCATGAGGCAACATCTTTTATTATTTGGAGCTTTATGAATAAACACAACTACTCCCTCCAGCGTCCCCGGAAAAACCCGGATGGATTCCAGAAACCCTCTCAGAGAACTTCTTGATGCCCTCAAGGATCCCTGGAACATTTAGAACCTCTGAAATCTAAGAACTAGTGGAGCCTTATAGCAAGACATAGGGTCCACAAACATCCTAAACAATATTTCAAACAAGATGTTAAACTGTGAGAGAGATTTATTTAATACTGGTGCTCATACTGCTTCTTTTCACTATTTCTTTCAGTGTATTTGAATATGCAACATAATGACTTTGGCAAAATAGCAAATAAACATTTGTTGCTCTAACTAACTAGAGGAAATTACTGCATATATGTGGGTTGTTTTGGCTGCAGTCCACGGGTGGGTACAGATGGGGCAGGGAAAGGGAGGGATTGGTGGAGAAGGGGGTGGAGAGAGTGTCAATGGAAGGATTTTCTGGTCCAATACATCCCATCACTTAGCAACAAGCAGTGAGGCTTCAACAAGTGGTTGCCATGGATCTGTAGAGAGTGACTTAAAAGTCCCTACAAAGAGCTGTGGTCAGCCCCTGTGTGTGTGTGTGTGTGTGTGTGTGTGTGTGTGTGTGTGTGTGTGTGAGAGAGAGAGAGAGAGCAAGAGAGAGAGAATCAGGTGGTGGTTACCAATGGGTTTTTTTCAAATTGTGAATTGGCATTTACATTGGTGACACAATCTAGACACAACCACCATGTTTTAGCAGTGATTCTGTTTGGATGCCAGCTCCTTTAAAGTTCATTTATGGTCTCTCACTTGCAGGGCAGTCACTAGCTGCTGTTGTCTCTTTCTTCCAGGCAGAATATGAAGTATATCATCAGAAAAATACAGGATTGAGTTCACCGACACGAGTCCAGCCTCCATTTAACACTGTCCAAGTTTTCGTGTAGGCTAGAGTACATGCTACCTTCCATCAGATAGCCTACTACAAACACCACCAGACATGCACACATACACAGGAGCGATTGCCTTTACATTTTCAGTCACCTGTGGAAGAGATGCTGATGTCACTAATGCACAATCACCATGGGCATCAAATGTGCATGGTTGACCACATTTGCTGACACCTTTCCTATAGATCCTCATACAGTGTCGGTGTCAATTTAGTCACTGATCAAGAAAGTAACCCGCTGAAATGACTTGTAGACATGTTATACTGCTTAAAGGTCCAGTGTGCAAGTTTTAGGTGAAAGGGAACTATTGGCAGTAATTAAATGTAGAATAATCCTCATGATGTTTTCACCAGTTCATTTCATCTAAATTGTATGAATTGTAGTTTTCTTTACCTCAGAAAAGGCCCTTTATATTTAAATACTTTATATTTACATCGAGGTGGTCCTCTCTACGGAGGCCGCCATGTTTTTTGCATTAGTCCAGACTGAACAAACTAAACACCTTTTGAGTTTTTATGACAATCAAAGGCTACCACAGGTTCTTTTTCATGTTTGGAAGGAGAGGGTGAGGTGAGGGGTGTTCAGCTGCAACATGCAACTTCAGCACTAGATATCACTAAATTCTACACACTGTACCTTTAAAGGTTGTGCTTCTACAGGTATAAAAGTGTGTTTCTATCTTCAGCTTTATTTCAGTTTATGTTTTGTCTGACAGGTTCCTCATATTTTTCTCCTAAAACTCATCTGGAGAAAAAGGTGAGATAAGTTACAAAGAAGTCATACTACTTAACATACATTCACAAATATATAGATACACCATGGACGGCTGCTGAAGTAGTTGTCCTTTAATCAGGTTATTTAGTAATTACATTAAATTAGAGTTACAAATGGAATATGTAGCAATCAATTGAAATCAAGTAATTAATTATTAATATAACTTGTTGTAATTCAGAGTTAGTAATCCTGTAGTGCCCAGGCTATCTACTTTTACTACTATATTACTATTATCTACTATAATATTGTTAGCATAGAGGCTATCTTTCTTTGATGGTTTGTTTAACAAACTTAGGCACAGAGTGGAGACCTGTCAATTTACCACATGCATAATATGTAATTATTTATTTATGCATCTATGTTGGATATACTGGATGAAGGGTTACCTTTCAACAGGGCAGCGACTCTAAGTACTTAGCCAACACAATGCAGGAGTGGCTTCGGGACAACTATAAATGTCCTTGGGTGTCTCATCCAGAGAATCTCCAAATCCAAATCAGCAAAGCTTGCCAGTCTTATGTCATTGTGCTATTTCAGTTTTTCTTTTTTTTAGTATTTTAACCGTTTAATAAAGTTTGTTTACATGATACATTGTATTGTAGGAAAGACAAAGTATTATTTTCCAAATGTCTAATGCAAGGTGGAGCTATACGTATATTATATCTTTTGAGATTAATGAGATGTCAATGATTAGCACACCGAAAGCTTAGCATGCTATAACTCATTTACAGAAATTCACAGCTTATTTGAGGTTTCATTCTATTGTGAGTGAAGGCCTGCATGTGCAAATGCATGTTTTTATGTGTGAGTTTTGGGATTGGCGAGGTTGTGTACTTGTGTAAGAGGGACAGAGACAGGGAGAGAAGAACATAACATTGCACTATATTATATCTCCCATTGTTCTACCCTAACTCTGTCTTGACCCACCCACATAGACACACACACACACTGCCCCTGTCCCAACAGTGTACGAGTGTATATGTGTAGGATCAAAACAGTGTTGCACTATATTAATGTGTGTGAATGGGTGAATGGCAAAAACCGTGCTGTATAGCACTTGTGGTCGTCCAGAAAAGAAAAGCACAATATAAATACAGACCATTTACAATATTTGACCACTTTTGTAATACAACGTTGTTTCAATCTGCTCCTGTGATTCGTGTTCTTTAACAGACTCATCTGGAATAAATGCAACATTCTTAACACTATACTAATATTATGCAAATCTACAAATGTGCCTCTTTATTGACATGGGGCCTGCACTACGAAGCTGGGTCAACCTACTCTGATTTAACTCGGGGTTGATAAAGAAAGTTGACAAACCCTGTTTCAGTGACTGTGTTAAACACCAGCTGGTTAAGATGTTGGTCTGTTGAGTCCGTGTTAGTTGAGTATGTGACGTGCATGTTTGCGCACGGCACATTTCCCAGAGGAAGAGTGCCCGTTAATTCTGAGATGAAATAAAGTTTAACGGTGACATATGAAACTGTGACAGGGAACAACGTCAGGAGGTTAATTAAAACACATTACTGACAGAGTACATTGTTGTTTGTTCTCTACAATCTTCGTTTGTAATATGATTGACATGTAAGTACCAATGAATATGTGAAAACACACTTGTCTACATGCACTCAACTTCTGAAATTGACACTGATAATGAATTTAGAAATTCTCTCTTAAGCACTGAGGAACTTAGACTGTGTCTGATACTGTTTGTTATACTGAGTTGAGTATTTATTTGATTTTAATATTAATTTTAGCTGCAATTACAATGGACCTGCAGCAAATCAGGATAAAATGTAAAAATATTCCATCAAGTGATCCGTATGAATACTTCTCATCATTAGGTTATTTTAAATCACAGTCACACTTCAGGAAACTGGAGCCACTTCATCTTCATCATCATCTTCATCACTGCAAAAGTTTTTTTTCTCATGTGTTATCAGCACAAAGTAACAAAAACCACAGGAACAAATGACAGTAAGTCTGACTGATAGCTGTATAATTTATGTAGTTCTGTCTTGTACAGTTCAGGGGGAAACCATTGAGCATTGAAAATAACCAAACATCTTGTGGGTCATAAATTGCTGTAAATACAGAATTCAGAGAAAATAACGCTTAGGATTAAATAGTTATTGTGCTAGTTAAAATATGGACCAAATATTTTTATACTGTAGAGAACCTGTGATCACATAAAGACAGTTAAAGACCCGACACATGTATCCAGCACTTTAGTGACAGTAAGTACCACCTGTGAAGGACACCCATAGAGTATTATTGATCATGTTTTGAAACACATGTTCAGCATCACCTAATGAATCCAAAGGTGTGAAGTGTCCGGTGACAAAATAACAAGACGCGGTTTGATAGAGAGGAAATTACTCCGGTGAGTAGACGTCTGTAGTGAGAAATGATCAAAGACACGGAATTCACTCATTTGTTTCACATAGAACACGACAAAATCAATATGTTTCATATAAAACATGATCGGGGGTGGGGGGGTCAGCAGATTGTGATGATCATTGTCTTGCATTGATAGTGTGCAGTGCTTATATAGAGTAGCATTGACTTAACCATGAACAAAAAACGGCTCAGAGCAGGGTTGAGCTGCAGCATAAGTTGTCATGGCATCATAACCTACTTTCATTGAACTGGTTAAACACCAAAGTTACTCCCAAAGTCACAAAGTTACCCCAGTAACCTAGCTTCGTAGTACAGGCCACGTAGTGGAATTATTTTCATGTTTAATGCCAAAACACAAAATGATCCATTACATGCATCCATGGTCAAAATTAACAGGCAAGTGCATTGACTCTTTCCAAATATTTAACTGCATCAAGAGGAATGTAATAACAGTGGGAGTCTGGCCCCAACAGCTCTGTATAGAGCTACACCACCTGCAACCACCAGCTGACTGTCAATCATGAAGCCAGTGGACCTACAAAGAAACAATATAAAACACTACCTTACATCTGCTTGGCGAGAATTACATCTTTGCATAAATGTCAAAAGTTTGTCCACCAGACGCAACAAGCTCCAAATTCCAGTGGCTCTGTTCATTCGTTTCACATGTCAATTAGTTCTTTCAAGTTTTGAAGATGTCTCTTTGTATCTTAAAATTTAGAATGAAGAATAACTCTAGAATAAAATTTTATCTTTGTTCTTTGCCTACTCTGTCTTCTTTTTCGACTTTTGTTCTGGGGATGTGTTCCAGTAGTAGAGAACCTGCAGAGCGATGATGCCGTTACAGGAGGAGGATATAACATAGGTGAGGGCCATCAGTGAGTCTCCAGTTTCCTGTGAGAAGACAATATGGATCAAAACACATGAACACAAACTGATAACATAGGAAATGTATTTGCTAACATGCAAATGATCCTCCTAATACTGAGCCAAGAAGTAGCACCGCATTTTGGAAGTAGCTCAAATAAGCTGCTTTCAGAAATGTACCGAACTCCAGAGACACTCCGCATTTTCTCAGAGGAGGTGTATGTGTGAACGCAGAAGCCTCTGTGAACTGTCTTCACCCGGCCCACTCTGTCTGTGTATCTTTTTTCGACACTGGATTTTCCGTTCAGAAATGGGTTAAATTAAAAAACAAAAACCGAGTGATTATTTGATTTCGTTTTAAAATCCAAACCTTTTAATTAAAATATAAGGCGTTAACACACAAGCTAGGCCTCATTCCAAACAGACTAATGTTCCAAATGGTTACAGCAATGAGACTGTGTGAGAGTGTGCGCGGGCCTATCTACAAAATGCAACGCCAAAAACACATATTGCAAAAATATTCATAGTTTCACTTCTGTGTATTATTAATAAAAAAATACTCCTAACTATGTGACAATATGTTTTTCCAAAGTGAGGGTTGTAGTGTAACCAGGAAGAGACCATTCAAGTGTGTATTGTATGTGGTGACCCTATACTGCACACCCTCTTACCTGTAATGAGGTGAAGATGCGGGCGAGTGATCCAGCAAACATCAGGAAGACAGAGACAGCAGACAGCTGGCCAGTGTGTCCATTACTGAAGTTAGTGACTGCCTGGATCAACTGACAGACACAGACACAGACACACACACACACACACACACACAGACACAGACACACACACAGACACACACACAGACACACACACACAGACACACACACACAGACACACACAGACACACACAGACACACGATAAATGGACTGCATTTACTTAACACTTAGACTACTCACACACATTTAACATTCACACATATTCATACAGCATTTTTCTACCAGACATCCCATTCACCCTCAGCCACCGGCAGTATCTTGCCCGATGACCCTTGGGCATGCAGACTGTTTGCAGATGCCACCCATAACACTTCTGTCCGTCTCTGGAGAAGGATCCCTCACTTTGGATTCCCTGACGTTTCTGTGTTTTTTGCTGTTAAAAGGTTTTTCTTGAAGACACACCTTGTACAGATTGTTAAGCCTTATGAGCTAAATTGTGATTTATGAGTATGGGTTATACAAATAAAAATCCAATTTAATTCAAATTAGTGATCATCATGTGACATAAATTCTAATTCTTATCTGAACCTAAAACAAAAAGAAACAACCTCATTCATCCTCAAATGTCTCAATATGCTAGATCACCACAGTGTAGATGATTCACGTGAAACACTCTACATGTCATTGCTTACCCTGCCAATGATGACGGCTGGCATGTTAGAGGCCTGCATGATGGTAACCACTGACATGGGGGTGACTCCAGACAGCAGGGGGAGCAGCAGGCCAAAATACACCACCAGAAACAGGACACCTGGGAGAGAAGAAACTCTTTTAGACTGAATTTGACTTTGAAATGAACCATAACCCAGAAATAAGTCAGAGTGTAAAAATTTCCATGGGGTGGGTTGTTACCCTTTTTGACTTTCAAAACTATTCAAAAGATATATATATTTATTATGTACAGATATTTTCAGTCTATAGCAAACTGGGAGTTTGATTCTCACTGAAGGACTGCACTACAGCTGCAGAAAGCAGTAGAAACAGATAGAAGCTAAAGAGACTAAGGCCCACAACACTCGTCTGAGTGGTGGTTTTCTGTGGGTTAGAGTAGCCATTACTGTGGCAAAAATGTGTGTGGAGAATTGTGTATCTATATTTGCAATCTGTGAGGTGTACATTTATTTAGAGACCCATCAAGAACCGTCATTCATCCATAAGTCTGTCATCTGGACCATAACAGCGGAAACATGTATTGTGGTCAGACGAGTCAGTAGTTCAAGTAATTTTTGAAAAAAATGGAAGCAGTGTGCTCCGGACTAAAGAAGTCCAGAAGCCAGGGTCTCTCATGGTATGGGGTTGTGTCAGTAACTTTGCAAAGGTAACTTACACTTCTGTGATGGCAGCATTAATGCCGAACAGTACATAGAGATTTTGGAGTAGCAGGAACCACTCTTACACACCCATTCCCCCTAAATTATAATTTAAACCTGTAATACTGCATTTATTGTGCTCACACTGAATACTTTATTTTTATACCGTATAAATTATATTTTGAGGATTAAATGTAAATCCAATTTCCTGTTCACTTTAGGAAATATGTTGTCATCTTTAACTGTGAGTGAAATTGACATTGTTATTGTATTTGATAATATTGGAAATACTAACCCAACAGCTCCTCAGTAATTGAATAATTCTATGAGCACTGGTGTTGTTGGAGTGTGCATGTAGTGTTACCTTTACTGGTTCTTCCTCCATAGTGCAGAATGAGGAAGCCAATAGTGACGGTCTGCAGCGTGAGGAACAGCGCCTCGCCCCAGGAACTGAAGTTACATTCAGCAAATGTTGATCAGTTAGTTACTCACAATAAGATGTTACATACAGTGCTGTTATTAAGTGACATTATATCATAGTACTCCATGTATATAAAATATTAGATAATTAATAGTCAATATGAAAATATCCCCACCTGAAAGGGAACTTGTTGGCGATGCTGTAGGCCATTGTTCCTGTGATGGCCAGCAGCTCTAACAGCACAGAGTTGAAACTCAGCCCCTCGGCACTCTTTGCTCCCATCAACTTTAAGATCTGTGGCAGTTTCACTGTGGACGAATGGAAAGCAGAGGGTGTTAGATGTAAGAAAAAAAATCATTATTTCATGTAACTGCACCAATAAACAAAACTTTGGCTGTCCACCCTACATGTTCCTCACAAAATCATGAAATTGTTTGCACTGTAAAATAAAGAACATTCACATAGGATGAATGTTGACCCATTGATTAAAAGATCAAAAATACTAATAACGTCCAAACATGTTTTTCAGAGTCAAAAGAAAATGTTTTCACTCGACAGAGAAGCAGAGACCTATGATTGGATGGAGGTTTAGTCAACTGGTCACAGGCAGCATGAAACAGGGTGGAGAAAGTGATATGGCAGCACTAGCATGTAGTGAGGTCCTTCAGCTAGTCGTGGAAAATCTTCCCAAACAATTACATGACAATCTCTTTAGCACACAATCACAAGTTGTGATCTTTCTTGCAAATTGTGAAATGCACTATTAAGAATATCCACACATAAACCAGCCTATGGACTTCTTCCAACGATCAAATGTTAGTCAATGATGTTTATGTGTGAAACACTCTCAGCATGTTTCCTTCAGATGATTCCCTTTAATAAGAATGCCTTTACTGTCATTGAACAGGGTGTACAATGAAATTACAGAGCCACTCCTTCACAGTGCAAACATACGAGTACAAAAATACTATAAAGTTGAAAAGCAAACAAATACGTTATTTGAAATAGTAGAAATTGACAACATTTACAAATGTACATGTAACTATATTCAAGTAGCTGTATTGCACAGCAGTGATTATGGCACAGTATGAGAAATAAATATATACTGCACAGTGGATGGATGAGGTTTGCACATTATTGCACAGTCATGCAAGGTATGTATAGTATATGGTTATTGCACAGTCAGTGATTATTGCACAGTATATGATTAATAAATATTTATTGCACAGTGGGTGGCAAATAGATTTGTTGCACTGCCTCCGGAAGTTAACATATGACTATGCTTTGATTAATATCTCACTGTGCAGATCTGAACTGCAACACTACTTTATCCTTTTTCTGGCACAAGCTTCTCATTCACGCTTAATTAATGTTGACTAAATTCAAGAAATCAGGTGAAAGAGAGTTAAGGTGCTTTACCCATCACTGATCCCAGGATGATGCCGATCCCCAGGCCTTTGCTCAAAACAATCTTCAGACATGGTACTGGCACAAAACATACAAACAGACAGATTAGCCACATTGTCATACATCAGATCAGACTTTGCACACAAAGTGCATGTGTGTGATTAAGAACGTGGCACAGAGGAATACAATAAAGCAGATGTTATTAAACACTTATTACTGGTTTGTGAGATTAGTTCATTTGATGATAGACTTTTATTTTGTTGATAAACCTTGGAAGACATTTTCCAATAAGGCTGGGATAGCTGATTCAATTCAATTTTATTTGTATAGCGCCAAATCATAATATACATTATCTCAAGGCACTTTCTGATCTCTGCTGATAATCCACTGGCGATTAATGTTTTGTCTTGCCATGCTTATCTTGCTGAGAAAGTCTTCAGCATGTCAACAGGTGGAGCTGGGTGTCAAACAACCTACACCAAACTTGATGACTAACCTGTTCAGCCGAGGAATAACTTTCAGGTACAAATTACAGAGTCCGAGCACAGCTACATGTTTAAAAGCATTTACTCTCTAGTGAACTGCAGCCCACACCAGAATATCCGGTGTAGAACATAGACCTGTGGAGTGTCTCACAAAGCATCTTATAGCTTTGTAGTTTTAAAGTATGTTCATTTCATAAAGTTGGATTAAGTCTGACCAGGGTTATTGTAGACACCATCAGATTAGTTTTAATGCTTAACTTAAACTGAATCACATTTCAAGTGCAGTGATTAAAATGTGTGATTGAAATCTCACATCTTCTCATTCAAAAGTATCAAAACAGTATTTCAGCCTAATGGCAAAGTTTCGGACATTCATCAATTCTTATAAATTTTGGGGTTCAGTATCTTGCCCAAGGACCCTTCAGAATGCGGAATAAGACTGGAATTGAACCGCTGACCCTCTGGTTACTGCTCTTCACCCTCAGCACTATCATATGTGCTTTTAAATACATAGATTGCAAATAAAGCTAATTCTGTCTCATAGTAGGAGTTGTCAAGCAAAGAGATGCAACGAACTGAGTTGATCACTTTGTCTGAGTATGAGCTCTCTGAGTACGACATGCTCACCGAAGGTCTCTTTTGCTTTTTGTGCTGCAGAGATTTTGTTGCAAGTGCAGTCTACAGAGCTTTGTGACATCTAGTGGTGCATTTGCGTACTGCAAACAACTGCATATCCCTCTCCTTTCCCATCCATTTCCAAATGTGTAGGTAACCTACCATAGCCTTCATATAATTCCCTCCACCAAGGAGATTGGGCCTCATTCAACAATATCTTAAGTTTTTTTAATGTATTTTCAAGAACATTTAAAATTTGACATCAGATTCATGAGGTGTTCTTAAACCGCAGAATTGTTTGCATCTGTGTTCTTATATTGATGAATCCCATTGTCTTCATTGGTTGAAAACACCTGCCAATTATTCTTAATTAGGATAGGTCCACGCCCCACCCATACCCCATACAATGGCATGAGACTGCAGTGTGGTGTGCACACACAGAAATTGAAAAGAATATGCAAGAAGTCAAGATGCCTCAATGAAAAATCTAAAGACAGTCTAGCACTGGACTCAAAACACAAAAAAAAATATATATTTATATTTTGTAGTGTCAGCAGTGTATATAAAATGACACAAACAATAACTGATAACGATAACTGGGAAGCAGTGACTGGCTCATTGAACACTGTATTGGGAGAGAGTTGCACAGTTGATGGAGAAAAATAATTGTTGGACCCTAAATCTCAAGTCAAAAGGGACATAGGACCACAAACTCTTTGCAGTTTACATTAACTACATTGGACTTGGGTCGGTAATGGACAGAAAAACACAGAATTCAAGGTGTGGGTCAGGCTTGATTAGTTTTCTCTCTGGCTTGGACAGGTTCAGGCGGAAAAATATGGCCCAGCTGCACACTATGTACACACACCTTTGTGCCGTTTGTTGCAATTGCATTTCCTGGGCTGACTCCCGTCTCAGAATCAGGAAGTAAACTCTTACTACTATTACTTACTTACTTACTACTACTTATTACTAGGCTGCGTAGTGTGCAGGACACTATTAAGGACTTTTCATGTGTGGTGGCTTCTGCAGTGTTCTGTACTACTGTCTGCTGGGGGTGTGGAGCACTGAGAGGGACAGGAAAAGACCAAATAAACTGGTTAAGAGGTCCATCATGGAAAATACCTCTCATTCCCTATATGACACTGTGGGGGCCCTGGAGCTCTTCCGCAGGTCAATCAATCTCATATCATGAAAAATGTAATTTCACACATTGGTGTCCTGCACATTACTTGCATAATGTATACCAATATAATAGATATATTGTGAATTTATACCCACATGTTTAGATACATCTTTTTATAGTTATTATAAGTATTATATGAAATGTACGACACTATAACACATGATTTAGTATACTATGGTGAATGTATACCCATTTTTATGTATGCACACAAACACATATATATTTGTTTGTGCGTTTTCACAAGTATGAAACATGGGATATTACCAAATGCTTCAGATTGTATGATGCCCTATGGGCAACTTGAAATCACCTCGGGAGATTCAGCCAGGACATGTTCCTAAAGTTTCCATGAGCTATCACTGCTGGGTGAAGTTAACCAAGAAACAAGCGAGGAATGGCTACCCGGCTATTAAACCCACATTGGAGCCCAACATTAAACTGAAGTAGCACGACCGGGCAAAATGACGCCGTAAAAAGCGGACCAACCCGGAAGAACAAGCCGGTTACCTACATACTGTAAAGGCTTTAACATTAGCTTCCTGAGGAGGAGGTGTCACTGAGGACTCCTCCATGTTCATCTTACCGTCCAGAAAGTTGAAACTGAGGAAAAACTCGTCATAGCATGATTCTGGCATAAAATACGTCAACAGAAGCCCCTTCAGAGGATCCATAAACGATGACCCTCTGTCCAGCACTGTTTCACTCGCCATTGTCAACAATACAGTGACGTTGTAGTTCCTCTTTTCCGGTTTTATCCATAGGTTTTATCACGGCGGCAACCGGCAGTTTGAACTGCGTTACCGCCACCTATCGTGTTGGAGTGGAAAGACATAGAAGTCAAAACCAGCATTTATCTGTGATGTTCGGTGAGGAAACTTTTAATATATTGAAATATTGAATTTTACACAGCAGCTCCTCTGATTTAAGAAGCTGGGTCTCATGAGGAATGTACATATGCTGTCAGAGCTGTTCACCAGATGAATGCACTTTGTTTTTTAGACCTCTCTTTGAATATCAGTCACACTTTTATTCTCTAACTAACAAATTCATGTTGATATATAATTTTATTTGTATAGCACCAGACTACAACATAAATGGTCTCAAAGCACTTTATATAGTAGGCCGGGACCTTCTGGTGGTGACAGCTGGTGATAGAAACAGAGAAGTGCAAGGAAAATCCCCAAAACAGTGAAATCAGCACCAACCTCCATAGAGCAAGAGGGCTGTTATCAACCCTCTATTCAAAGACTTAAAACGCAGAACGTTTGATTAGGCAAGACGAAGGTCCACTAAATTAATGGAAAAGCCAAAGTGAGGAGAAAAGGGAAGTAGGTTTCAAACTGATCAAGTCAATGATTGGACTTCAGTCCAACAGAGTAGCATTTTCACATCCTGAACTGGAACCTTGTATACAAAACGGACTGTAAAAGATTCACAAATGGTCCATGTAACAGTTTGGTGATGTCAGTGGGTCACAGGCTTGATCCAGTTATCGCAAGAAAAATCTATTACACCAAGTGTAAAATATAATTTACTTGAACTGAAACACCATCTGTTTAAGATGTCAGATTCTAGACAAACCATAGTACTTGACATAGCCTCAAAACATGTCCTTATTACAAGAGCAGGAACAGAAATAAATGTTTTTGTGGAGTCCATAACATGTTGGCATGATAGGAAATGAACTGGCAGATGAATATGCAAAATACAAGGAGAAGTTGATTGTAAGATATAGCAATGCAGAAATCAAAAGTATAATCAAGTCAGAGAAATGAATGGCAGAAAAAAGAAAGACAGCAGAAAGGACAGATTACCAACAAGCAAGACAGATAATTAAATATGCACTACAGAGGAATCAGATTGCTCTGGATATTAGGGAGGTGTTGTAGAGTTCAGGGGATGTAAGCTACAGGGATGTTTTCAGATTTCTAGCAGACACCAGCGTTATAAGGAGAATTTATATTGAGTCATACTCCGATCCAGAAGGTGGGGATAATGCGTGTAAAAGCGGATTGCCAACTGGCATTAAACAAAAACAGAAGAGCAACATGACGTGGCCTGAAAGCAGCAGGTCGTCATACACAGTCCGATACTGTAGGGGGCAGTACGCGTCTTAGAATCGGTCAAACAGGATTCAATGATACACTTCATAAAATAGACAAGCACCCAACTGCAAAAAAACTGAAACTCGTGTATTGATAGATTGCAACAAATATAATGAACAAAGAAGATAATAATATCAGCATTAATAGATGAAAAGCAAGATATCACATTTAAACACTTGTTAGAAAAGACATCAAAGAATATACACCATCTTCCAATGAACTACTACTAATTTAATTTGAGTTTAGTTTGCTGCCAATCTACTGTTTCGTCCAGAAGGTGGCGATACTACGTCTCTAAATCTGTTCGCCAACCGCCAATAAACCCCAGAAGAAGAAGGTGGCATTATGCGTCATAATGGTTTGAATTGAGTCGCTGACTTTGTTGTCACGTGCTCCTGAGGCTCAGGTCTTATTATGGTGGACTCAGTGGACATGTCGGGGACCAGCGGTGCCCCGGTCTCTGTGTCTAACCGGTATCAAACAATCCCGCTGCCGGAGTCTGACGCACACTTCCCCGGACAGCCATACTCCGTGTCCGTGCTTAAAGTGGGGTACTGTCTTCCTCAGCCCGACGGGACGTTCAGAGCCGACGGTACCATCACCCTCATAACAGGACCCAAGACTATTCTGGTGGACACGGGGGGGCCGTGGGACCGGGACTTTCTCCTCATGTCGCTGAAAGAGAGGGGTCTGGAACCGGGAGACATCAACTTGGTCGTGGGGACTCACGGGCATTCAGACCACATTGGAAATCTGGGACTTTTTCCAACAGCTGTAACGATTGTAGGAAATGACATCAGCCAAGGGGACACGTACCGTCCTAACAGGCTGGCACAGGGTCACGCTTACACTGTTGATGAACATGTGAGTGTCAAGTCCTCACACAAAACCTTGCTCTAAACCAGGGGTCACCAACCTTTTTGAAACTGAGAGCTACTTCATGGGTACTGAGTCTTACAAAGGGCTACCAGTTTGATCCACTCTTCTGAAATAACACATTTGCTCAGTTTGCCTTTAGTTATATATTATTATTAATGAGAAATGATACTCATCTGTGTGAAGACACCGATCACGTTAATGATTTCTCACATTATCAGCAATGGGAAACAGATAATATCAATATTCAACACTTTATTTCTATTAATCTCAGCAATTGTTTCAATTTTCAGATGATCCCTTCTACAACATGTCATAAGAAAAATGTCCCATTTTCACTAGCCACCGACAAACCCTTTTAACAAATCATAGTCAATAGTCAACTTCAATATGAGAATAAACATTTGACAGTATAGAAAATAAATAAAAATAAATGATTAAATTGAATTAGAAACGCATATCAAATTTAAGACGCAGCTCACTGGTGAGTTGTGTTGTTTTTAGAACAGGCCAGCGGGCTACTCCTGTGGTCCTCGGGGGCTACCTGGTGCCCGCGGGCACCGTGTTGGTGACCCCTGCTCTAAAGTAATCAGTGATAAGTATTTATTAGAGTGACCCAAAAGTGACAGTTCATTCTATTGCTGTGTTTGAGGCTGATCAAAGAATATTCTGTGTTTGACAATCACAGCTCGTGAATCAGTTACAGACTACAGAGAAACAGGGCGATGTTTTTGCAGAATGTTTTTACATACATTCTAATGATAAGACGGTGCCCACAGCATCACAATAATGCTAGTGCTGTAATCTAAGTTCAACTAGTGGTGTAATTTATAAAATAAGATGTATATTGTGTGAGTGAGGGTCCAAATACTGTACATAAAATATAAATTATTATTATTTCTTTAGTAAATTGAAAATGATAGGTTGCTCATCCACAAGAACCATGCAGTTGTCAATACAGGTAATTTCCCCACCCACATAGCATGAGGGAGTTTTTTCTCTCCATAGTCTGCTCATTGTGACAACTGTGGGGTTTCTCTATATTAATATGATTTTAAGGTCTTGACCTTCGATGTAAAGTCCCTTGAGATAATCTATATTATGGTTTGGTGCTATACAAATAAAATTGAATTTAATTGAATATATATACAGGACCCTAATACTGTGGCTCCACACCATGATCACTACTGTGCTCACTCTGGCTCCAAATGACATCCAAAGCACATACCTGAAACATTTTCAGTTAATTTTTGTGGAACGGAAGGAAGTGGAGACGGGTTTTTGTCCATCTTTATATGCAGTCTATCGTTCAAACCTGATGTTAACATCCTTCCTTAGAGGTTAGAAATTGAATAAGCAACTTGCTAAACTATAGCTGACAGGAGTAACACTACATAAAGGAAAAGAGAAGACAAAATAAAACTACAGTCAGTCTCTGATGGAGTTTAGCGGTGTCCTGTGCTGTTGTGCTGGTTCTCCCTCAGCCTCTGACAGCATCTCTCTCTTCTCTCCTACAGATATATGTAGTTCCAAGTCCAGGCCACACAGGACAAGATGTCAGCGTTCAAGTGAAGGGAACCTCAGCAGGCACTCTGCTCGTTGCAGGGGACTTATTCGAATGCTGCTCAGACGAGGACAGCTGGCGGGATGTGAGTATGAACACAGCAGTGCAGGAGGTCAGCCGCCAAGAGGCGTTACGCACTGCTGACATCATCATACCGGGACATGGACCCCCATTCAGAGTCCTCAGGAACTGAGGAACCAACATGGAGATCAGTTCAATTAACATTTGGTGGAGTTATACAACAGAAATGGATCTGCTAGACATAGGACCTGTTCAGACCTGGCATTCACACGTGGACAGCCCTAAGTAACAGGTGTGGATGCACCAAAGAGGGTTTAAGGACACATTTGAGATCCAATCAGATGTGTGTGGCCACATTCTTTTGTCTGTATGTGGTAGTGGGGGGTGGTTGGTGTCGGTGGCAGGAGGGAGAGAGTGGGCAGGTGGCTCAGGGATTGGCACCAGGGAGAGAGTCTGATTGTGTACAGGTGTACTGACAGTCACGACGAGTAGCTGGAGGCACAAACCCAGCAGGACAATTGTATATGTATATGTGTGTATGTGATGGTCCTTGACCACATTGAAGGACCGCCTACTCAGCTGATGTCCTCCAACCCTCTACAGTTTCATAATGAGCCTAAAGGTTTTTTTTTACACCTCATTATTTCCCATATATTGAATTATTTGTGGCCACCCACACAATATGGACACTGACTGTATAAATAAAATGATGTCATGGTAAAGTTTTGTGCATTTTGCAAAGCCCTGTTCTCTCTCTCTGTCTCACACACACACACACACACACACACACACACACACACACACACACACATTTTAGTTTGTTTAGTTAGTTTAGAGATTAAAGACACTACATTAACCATGGAGTCAGTTGGCCAAAACTCAAAAAAACACAAATTAAACAAACTGGTGCTTACTCTATCTGGGCAAGTTTTTAATAGAGTCAATTATCTCCATAAAAAAAAATGACTCAGCGTTTACTAAACAATGTTTATACACTTTTGGTCAGTCCCAGTAATTGTGCTCATTTATTAGCCACTAGAGGGCTGTCACAAAATATAACTTGCACGTCAAATCAAGCAGTAAGTCAGACAGGTTAACTATTTACGTTAAAACATTTAATTCTGAAGTTTTCAGAAACAAGAATCCAGTGAATCACATAAATGCTTTTATTTATTTTATAAAGCAGTAATCCTTCAAGTCATTTTTCAAGATAACTCAGACTGCACAGTTTCTGTTCACATTACTCAACAGAATCACACTTTTTTTTTTTTTGGAGCACTGTAAGATCTGCTGATTTACAAATTGTGTTATTGCATTGTATGTAGAACATGTGTTTCGAACTTAAATTTCTTGTGAAATAAACATTTTCACTTTGATTAAAACTCAAATACACAGAAAGACAGAGGTCCACTGTCACATTACCAGATCAACAGGAAGTCGACACCAATAGCAGACACGTAAGGACATCTCTAGATTGTTCAACTTCCTGTGCTGAGTCTCGCACATCGATACTGTGACAGGAGTGTATGTGTGTCACTATATGCTGGGGTGACAGCCACACAGCCACCCCCTGGATCTTCACCAAATTTCAGCATCCAGCAGGTAAAGTCACACTGTCTCCTCATTTCTACATTTCCTCTAAAATGTACTGATGTACTGTGCTTTAGTTTTTCAGTTTTATAATGAGCACAAGTCTGTCAAACTGGAAAATGGCACGAGTATGTTTATACCTGAGAGAGGGGTGAAATGTATATTCAGAGAGCAGATTATTAGTTACCAATAACACTTTTGGACAGCTTGTTGCGGAGTACATCAGTAACACAAGCAACACAAGTTCTCCTTTTTGCCAGGAAAAGCACTTTACTCTGAGAGAAGAGACCTTGTTCCTCTTTAACATCTGCAAATCTGGTTTTGAATATGTTACATTAAATGAATTCATGTTTCTATGAATCTCTTTAAATTAAATGTTAAGTAGATGTTATACAGCTCTCAAATACTGCTAGATTTCTGCTTTTATTTATTTGCATCTATTCAAAAACAAGAAATGTGATAAATTAACACTTTGAAGCTGCTCACACGTTAGAGTCAGGGTTGACATGCAACAAAATGAGAGATGTTGTGCCCTGTTTAATGCATCTAATCTCCCCACGCAATCTGTGACTAAACAACCTGAACAATTTGAATGCATTTATTTTTGATGCTTGCTTTATTATAACACCCACTTGAATTATTTTAAACAGTTAAACCTTTATAACACCTCCTCAAAACCGAGTGCAGGAGAGTCAAAAAATGCAATCAGCAAAGCAGTGAGCAACAGGCTCAACAGCAGAAAGCACCAGGACTAACACAAATATAATGAAAATATACATTTTTAAATATTTAGATGAATGAGTATATATTTATAGTCAATAATATAAGCGATAGTGTCATTAAAGGAGGAGCGGCCTATTGCTCAACCGGTGGAGCTGCCGCCCCACTGAGGCAATGCTTCAACCCGCAGCGGCCCGGGTTTAGTTCTGACATGTGGCCATTTCTGCAATGTCTTCCCCCACTCTCTCTCTGTCCCCCTTTCACAGCTTGCTCTTCTTCCTGTCAATTAAAGGCAATAAAAGCCCCAAAAATATACTAAAAATCATTTGAGGAGAAATACTATGAAAATGTGCCTTGTCAGTGCTTTTCAACATTTATTTGGTTTTTTTTAGGGGCTGCCTATGCCTGAAAACCTGTGTGTCTGTGAACTGTTCAGAAGACTACTCAGGTACTAATTACTGACAACCCCTCAACTTTCAATTATGCTACAAACTTAATTCTCAACAATGTTGGGTAACACTTTATATTCGGGAACACGTATCAACCATTAACTAGTTGCTCATTAGCATGGACATTAGAGGCATATTGGCTCTTTATTAGTCATTATAAAGCACTATTAATGCCTTATTCTTAATGACCTTATTCTGCAACTAATCCATTGATTAACAGTTTTCCCATTATAACCTCCTAATTACTGCTTATTGATGGTAAGTAAGGAAGTTGTTTTTCATGAATTACAATCAAGTGCTTGGATATGTTTACTAGGGTTAATAGTGTTATAGTTAGATATTTTTTCCTTACTCTTGTTCAGGGTTAAGGACAGAGGATGTCACACCTTGTTAAGCCCTATGAGACAAATTGTGATTTGTGAATATGGGCTATACAAATTCAATTTGATTGATTGATTTGGAGCCCCAGTTTCTTTCAACTAAGGGAGCTCATGGAAAAGGAAAATACCTATTTTTTGGGGCTATCATTTGAGTTTTTTTAATTTTTAATTTCACAATATTGGACTGACAAAAACATACACAGGCTCCGATCTGTCATGGCAGCAACATTCATAGAATAATTTTGCCTTTAGAAAAAGCAATTTCTTTCTGCAGTGGTATATTTTGAGCTGAATAACAGAGTTTATAATCAGAAAAGATGTGAAATTATGCCTGAAGATTGTTGCTGTCTCAGCCATCAAATGCAAATGTGGAGGAGCCAATCGACATCAGAGCAAGGATTGTGAGAGGCTGAATCAGCAGGAGAGGCTTTTTAACTCGTTAGCATCCGCTGATCTCCCTCCACCCCTCCCTCTAGGAAACATATAGATCAACACAGAGGTGAAACTTTTTACAGGCGGATCAAGTTTAAATACTGGGAAAGGCGATCTACACAGGTGCATTAGAGATTCATACTGGAGAAAATCATGCGTTATACAATGTGTAACAATTCTTAAATCAACAGAGCTTTGGGTCTTTGTATGGGCTCTGAATAAAATGTGTGACCCATTAAAAAAGTGATGATGGAGAATAATGGAATCCAGTTTCCTGAGGTGTGACTTTTAGATTTAGACAAACTGGAATGATAAGAAATATTGATACAGATCACTTTTTAGAATGTTTTAATATTTCATCCTGATTTGCTGCCACTTTACATTGTAGTTGCAGTTAAAATTTATGTTAAAATCAAATAAATACTTACCACAACAGCATCATACACATATCTATTTAAATCAACTTACTATCAAACCAACATTAAGGAGTATTTTTTATATCAATTATCAGTGAGTTTTGAGCCACTTACTGAATTTATCCTCACTGATGTCATTACATTACAATACAATTACAATACAATGTATTAACATTCACATGCACACATGTCTATCATACAACATGTTGAGACTCTACATTTCATATGACAAATATCGCATCTCTTTATGAATGCAATCAGTCAGTAATGTGTGATTTACCTCCTGACTTTGTTCGCTGTAACAGTTTCACATTTCACCGCTTTCTTGAATCTAGTCATATTTATTCAGAATCAACTCTCCACCCTTCCTTCCTGTTCAAGTGTTATGATGCCAAACGCCCCTTTAAGCATGCGGGCATGTTTGTTCACATACTCTGAGTCACTGAGAACATCTTAACTAGCTTTGACGTACTGTTTAACACAGAGTCACTGAACCAGGGTTTGTCAACCCTGACTCTCTTTAACCCCTTGTTAAATCAGAGTAGGTTGAACCTATTCCTTGTACAGACCCTTGTGCTTTTTTATATGTAATTATTCAATATGTGCTACATCTTTAAAATTTATAAGACCCTGTTTAGACGAGGTATTATCATCTATCCTGAATGTGATGGCATACAAAGAGCGCTGGACTTTTTCTAACTCCTCTCTCCTGTTTGTCAGGTCATTATGTCCTTCAACAACTCCTCTGCATGTTACAATGACACCAACCACATCAACATCTTGCCTGTGTGCATATACTCCTTCATTTCCGTATTGGGCCTCATCTTAAATCTCACAGCACTGGTCTTTTTTTTCAGTCAAACCAAATCCAGGTCACAAACAATTGTCTACATGACCAACCTTGCCATAGCAGATACACTGCTCATCCTCACATTGCCAATGAGGATCTACTATCATCTGGGTTTTGATGGTCTTCCTCCGTGGCTGTGCGATGGCCTTGGGTTGGTCCTGAAGGCCAATATGTATGGGAGCATCTTCCTCCTCACTTGCATTTGCTTTGATCGTTGCATGGCTCTCTGCTTTCCTATGTCATTGCATGTTCAACAAGGGAGACGGAAAGCGCCCTTGGTTTGTCTCGGAATATGGATTTTCACCTTTGGAACCAGCCTGCCCATCTACCTGTCTAGGCACACAAGGGTTAACAATGAGCACTGTTTTGATAACCTGCCCATCTATGCTATGCAAACTGTGGTGGTTTTACCCACGCTGATCTTGGGGTTTGGGTTTCCATTAGTAATCATGGTGATTTGTTCCTGGGGTTTGGTCCGTGCTGTCCAACAAAGCACTGTGGCCCAGACCAAGCTAGTGGACAGCAGAAAAATCTACAGGATGATTGCCACCAGTCTCCTAATTTTCCTGATTAGCTTCCTCCCTTACCATGCAACCCTGGCTCTGCTCTCTCAGTATAGCAATATATCATGCCCGATGCGGATTGCATACCGCTACAGCCTGATGGTGGCATGTCTCAATACAGTTCTAGATCCCATTGCATATTATTTCACTACCAATACATTCAGGAGGAGTGTTGAAATAAGCACTGTTCAGAGGATGTTCCCCTTGAGTAGTTAAAGCTCTGAGTCGCTCAGCAGGAACAGAGGTCCTAAAAATAGGGTAAAGGGCTGTTGCAGAACCAATCAGAATTATCATCAACCTCAAAGCTGGTAATAAAAAGGTGATTAAAATTCAGGATAGAGAAGCTATAGTGACTGTTTTTGTCATGTATGATTGTAGAATTATTTGTGTTTGGAGTGTGGATACCCGACGCGAGGTGTCAGGATCCGACAAGCCAGGTCGGGCTTTGGAAATTTTGAAATCATATTTTGGGGGTTGGTCATGCTTCTTGGGCAGAGTTTTTCCACTGCTCATGTCTGTATTCATGTCAGGGAAACACAAACCTAGTGCAGCTCACATTATCTGATTTTGGGTCTGGGTTATAATGGGGTTATGGTGTTATTTAATATGGCACTATAGTGACTGAAGACTGAACAATGTGGTTGAATGTGTAAACACACTGTTATTCTTCATTGAGTTCATGTTACAATATCACACAGATATATTTTTCATCCAAATGTTTTTTTTGTCAGCTGTCTCCCATGGAATTTATTGTTATTGTATTTACTATTATTGACCATCTTTGTGTATCTCAAGTGAAAATGAAACACAAAAGTGTGATTTACAAAAATAAAATGTCTCTTAGCTAGCATTGCAAAGTTTAGGGAAAGAGTCTTGGTAATTTATGCAACTAAGGTATTAAAGAAACAAATAACTTTCAGCTGCCTTTTGATGGTGTAAGTCTCTAACATGGGAGAAGCTTTTACTATGTGCTTGTCTGTGCATCACACATGTTGTATACATCATATTTCTTGAACTCTGTCAAAATAAAGGACAAATGTAATACAATGTGTTTATCTCAATAGTATATTCAATGATGCATCATGACCAATTACATCAGGCAATTGATGTTAACCGTTTTTTTCTGACTTCACTCAGAGGGCAGAATACATCAGGATTGTGGCCATAAAGTGAAGAATGTAGTCAACAACAATACTCAGACTTTCAAACCATGTATTCAATTCTCAAAGTGTGTAAGGAAGTTTAAGACATTTTTTTTTTTACACTAGACTCTTCACCTTATATATGCTCCCCTTAGGAGCATCATGAGAAAGCACCACATACACTACCATTGTTACGCAGACGACACCCAGCTGTACATTTCTGTGAAGCCTGATGAATCTAATCACTTAGTTCAACTTCAGGAATGTCTCAGGAACGTCAAGGCCTGGATGACCCAAAACGTCTTACTTCTAAATTCAGACAAAACTGAGGTCATTGTAATTGGCCCTAAACATCTTAGAGAATCACTGTCTGAACAGATAGTTACCTTGGATGGTGGTAGTTTGGCCTCCAGCTCAACTGTGAGGAACCTTGGAGTTATGTTTGACCAGGACATGTCATTTTACCAACACATAAAACAAGTCTCTAGGACAGCTTTCTTCCACCTGCGCAATATTAAGAAAATTAGAAACATCCTGTCTCAGAAGGATGCTGAAAAACTCGTCCACGCATTTGTGACCTCTAGACTAGATTACTGTAACTCTTTATTATCAGGATGTCACAGTAAGTCTGTAAAAAAGCCTCCAGTTGGTCCAAAATGCTGCAGCACGAGTGCTGACAGGAACTAGAAGGAGAGATCATATTACTCCTGTCTTTGCTTCTCTACATTGGCTCCCTGTAAAATTCAGAATAGAATTCAAGATCCTGCTCTTCACATTTAAAGCCCTTAACAATCAAGCCCCTTCATATATCAAAGACCTGATAACACCGTATTATCCAAATAGAACACTTTGTTCATAAAACACAGGCTCTCTTGTGGTTCCAAGAGTCTGTAAGAGTAGAACAGGAGGTAGAGCATTCAGCTACCACGCTCCTCTCCTGTGGAACCAGCTCCCACTCTGGGTTCGGGAGGCAGACACTGTCTCTGCATTTAAAATTAAACTAAAAACGTTCCTTTTTGATAAAGCCTATAGTTAGTTCTGGATCAGGTGAGCCCTGAACCATCCCTTAGTTATGCTGCTATAGGTCTCGACTACTGGGGTAACTTCTCTCTGCCTCTCTGCCCCCCCACACTCATTTATTTATTTTAATACATGTCAATAACTATGTCACTTTTTTCTCCCATAGTCCCTCTCTCTCTATCTCTCTCTCATTGCAGATATCTCTGACCCCAGAACTACAGGACAACAACTATTACCATTATTACTATTATTACTCACAATACTTTAGTAATTAATTATTATATTAATTGTTACTGTTATCAATAATAAACTATTTACACTGTTACTGTTTACATTTTAACTAGTCAGATCTGATACCTGATGGTGCACAAGTGTTCCTATTCTCTCTCGCCTCTCTCTTTTAATGAGCTAAAACTTACATAAATTCAAAATAACACCAAACATGACACAATTTCAAGATACAAATAGACATGAATTTGATACCTAATGTGAAACTAAATATTAGACTAATTTTCTAAAAATCAATTCAAGACAATGCATTGAGAAAATTAATTTAAAGTGTCACAGTGACAATTCATTATAATAGACAAAGCAACACAAATTATGTAGTATGCAGCCTTTTTTCTTTATGTATATACTTTATAGGGACACGTGGGTATTGAACACTGGAGTATTTACTGGCTTATCTTTTTTTTTTTTAGAGTGACATCCTTGAAAGGTTTAATATGCATGACACAATAAATACATTAACAATAATAGGGCTTGAAACTCAATGTGTTTGCTTGTGAAAACCACCAATGCATAGACAATGCAACAAACCAAGCGCTTCTTGAAAGCAGCTCATTTTGTTCTATCAGTCTGTTGTGGCGAGCACCATCTTCTTTGCTGTGGTGTCCTGGGGTGCGGGAATCAAGACAAAGGACGCCAACAGACTGAACAAAATCATCAGGAAAGCCGAGTCTGTGGTTGGCTCTAAGCTTGTCACC